TCTAAATACACGACCGTTAGGTGAAACAAGGTAGAAAATTTACATATCCAAGGCAGAGAACTTAGGTGTAAACACTGTTATTTGAGACAAAGAACAACATAAGTAAAAGCTCAGCTAAGATAAGATTATCAGGAAAAGCATTTTAAACAAAGGTAAGGTTATGTAAAATTTAAGCCATTCTCTTTTCCAGGGTAAAAGTATTTAGGGGTTTTAGGTATAGAGAGGGAGATTCCTTTATGAATGGGTATGTTCTTTATAGATGTAAATTTTTTTTCCCAGAGTTTTAAAATAGCCAGCTAAATGTCAGAAAGCTGTATTTTGGAGACTGATTCAGTCTGATGGATAGTCTTTTTAACTTAGCTTATTTCTTAATTAGATTACCAGCTTTAGGGTTTGAGCCCTTTAATGAAAATGGAAAACAAACAAACAACACATATGCAGTTTTAAGGCCTTGATATTTAAGTATGTTAAAAAGCAGGCACAGCTGTAAGGCAGAACACACAGATCTCCCAAAATCAAGGATCCCATTTTTTACTCTGAATTCTGCGTCCCCCAAAAGAGGGAAATGCCACAGGATTGGACAGTATGATGTCTTCACAGGGCACCCTTACTGCAAGGATGTATTTTTGAGGCTGGTAAGCAAGCCAGTGGCAATCATACCACAATGTAATTAGCCGATCCCCTTATGGGAGTCTTATCCCTCAGTGGCAAGTGTTTCTGTAGCCTCTGTGTGACCAACGGATGCTTTTCTCAACCACGCGTGCAAAGAAACAAGCAGCCCCTGTAGTAACAACCATTCACTCTAAACGACTGTTGCCAGCCACTTCCAACACTATAGCTCTTGCCACGGACTCACCAACCATCACACACACCAAGGTCAAGTCCCCGTATCATACAAAGTAATCTCTGGTACCCCTTAAAAGCCAAAGAGATTAGGTAATGCAAAACAAAAGAGAACAAAGTTTTAGACCTGAGAGGAATCTGTCTGTTCACACCTCTTGGGGTTTTATGAGGAAAAACAGCGGTTCCTTCCCAAAAGAGGAGTCTTTGGTACTTTTATTTTTTTTCAAAGGATCACAGGCTGTTAGGATTTTTTTTTAGGTCCCCTCATGAGGCACCAGGGTGGCAAGAGAAAGGAGGGACAGACAGAAGTAAGCAGAGAAATAGAATTCAGTCAGCTGAGAAGTTTTTACAAAGAACGCAGGTCTTAAACAATACATATGTATACATATATAGCCTAAATATTAGTTTTAATTAAGTCAACTTTTGACTATAGAGCTCTTCCAAAAAAATATTTTCTCTAATTGTAATTCCTTCTCAAGCCATGTTACTTTTGCTTTTACTGCTCGCTGGGCTACTGTCTCCAGATGGTTAGCCCATAGAAGCAGCCATTCCCCCCAGCAGCTGTTTGCTGACCTTCCTTACGGCAGTGCGATAGACAGCTCTCAGTTAACAATTGCTCTAAACCCACTAGCACTTTTGAGGTATCCTCATGCTCACATGGTGGTCCACAAATGCCTAAAAGGTGAGCCACACCACTCCACACAGAAGTGGCTGGCCACCATGGGATGCTTCATTTCCTTTTCCCATTTCTTTTCTCTCAGCTCCTGGCTAGATTGTCAAATGTTCCACAGCGGGCCAGTATATATAAAGCTATGCTCAAAGGCTGAGGGAGCTGAGAGGCTGAAGAAAGACGCTGACAAATCCAGTTTCTCCGAAAGGAATATTTAACAGAGACTAATGAATAGAAGTCTCGGGCAGCCACAAGATGATGGTTCCCTGCACTCTTAACCCCCAAACCCTGGGCAAATATGCCATAGAGAAAGAATGCGTAGGGCCATCAAAGTCACTATGTAAATTTGCCTAAAGACAAGATTTATGTACATATTTACAATAATGTGAAGTTTGTTTTTGACCTAAGGGTTTAGGATTTAAGGTAATAGATAAAGTGAAAATCTTAGAGACAGTCCCAAAACTGGGGTTAATCAAAAGTTAACATGGCAGATTAGCATCCAAGATAGATATATTTTAGTCTTCACAAATGATATAGCCTAGGTATGCAGTAGGTAATACCACTTAGGTTTGTGTAAGTACACTTTGTGTTTCCACAATGACAAAATTGCCTAATGATATTTCTCAGAATATAATACTGATATTAACACATTGGTGTCAGGGTGTCTGGAGCCATGCTTGACCTGGGTACGGGAGATTTCATGTTATGTTAGAAAAACTGCTATAACTTTTTAACCAATTGATATTTTTCAAAGGTATTTTGAGGAAAGTGGTAAATTACTTTTTTCACATCATGATTTATACTTTTTTACATGTGATTATCAAATTTTTTAATATAACCACTGGTCTGAGTTGGGATCAAAGACTCTTCAGTAACAACAACAGGTAGCACACTTTATCGATCAACTCTGCATATCTTCTCACACTGGATCTTCACCTCTGGATTTCTGACTGTCTCCGACTTTCTCACCCTATTCTCTTTGGACACTGACTCTCAAACTCTGACTAACAACTAACTTGCACCAACCATACCTCTCCGTTTTTCAAAAGCCATGCTTTTTTGTCTATGCCTTCACATAGATACAGACACACCTCCGCTCAGGTCATCGCACGCAGGTCCTCACTTAGATATCGTCCTCTCCAACACTCAGGCACACATACACAATGCAGGCACTCTTACATTCAAACATGGAAACAAAAAATAAAGCACTTCTTAGTGAGAAACACATGCGACTGTTGCAGAGGCCAGGAAAATTCTGAAAGATCTTATTCTCGCCTTGCGGATGCAGGGTCATTTTATTACGTGTAACGGGATACCCCATTTTGTTATAAACAAAGTTATCTGCTGTCTTTGATTATACTGCAGAATAAAATCCAAGTGTCAAAGTTGTATCTTACTGCTTTAACGTATAGACAGTTCTGGTGTTGATACTTATGAAATAAAACAAAAAGTTGCAAACATATCTAATTGTTGTAATTTGTGCAACATCTGTTATGACATTTCTGAAGGGAAACTGAACCATTTATAGTATTTTGTACATTTTAAGACAGGTGTGTGAAAATTTCAATGACGCACATATGCATCATCTGGACTCAAGTAAAAAACCTGAATGACCCACACATGTGCATCATCTGATGCCAATATGTTAACATGGCATGACATTCTCTATCTTTTTCCATATGTATGTGTATATATAAATACGTAATTTACTTATTTATAGAGACCCACACATGTGCATACTACATACACCAGATAATGATGTACTGTGTACTATAACAGGGTATCACAAATCTCTTTGAATATAGATGTAAAAAGTCTATATAATACTAGGGAACTGGAGTCTACCCATATATGAAAAGACTTATACTTCATTACCAAGAGACATATAACTTAGAAAAGTAATGTTTTTTTTAATATCTGAAAGTCAATTAATATACCACATTGATAGAACAGATTTCAATAAACACAGTATCATCCCAATAGATCCAGAAAAAACATTTGAAAAAGTATAACACCTTTTGACAATAAAACACTCAATGAACAGAGAGGAACTTTCTGAACTTCTTTAAGGCATTTATAAAAAACTCACAGCTAACATTATACTTAATAGTTGAGACTGGATGCTTTCTCCCTCAGATTAGATACAACATACTGTCCTACCATAGTTCTCTCTCTTTAATTCAAAGAGAAATACCCAAATAACAGCCAGAAACAATGGCAAAGAGTAAAGGGCAACAAATGAAAATAATAATTAATGAGACTATACTCCATGATAAACTTTATATACTTACAAATAGACACTAACTTTTTATTAGCAAAGAAAATAAAATGAACTTTTTGACACCAAAAAAGCGAAGTTTCTCCCATAAGAATTAAAGGTGGAATATATAAAATGAGGGAATATATCCAGAACTTGCCACATAAGGTATGAAAAATCCCAATAATTAATAAAGATTCATTTTTCAATGGCTTATTAATAGAATGATTAAACAACTATATAAAAATTAAATCTACTTATATAGTAGAAAGACATTTCAATTCACCCATAGATTCAACACGCTTTAAAAATGGATAGAAAAAATTTTAACTTGCTTTAAAAAAAGCTACCTGTTAACTCATGTACTATTGCTTGAAAAGGACCTACAGAATTCTCACATCAATGTTTCCTTGCAAAAGCAGTGAAAATCCATAGTCCAGAGACCCTCTTTAATAACGAGCCACCGATAAACACAGTATATGTATAACCTGTATAGCACTTCATTTTTGTGAGTTTTCTCAAGCATTATACAATAATTAATTTGCATCAGAATTTCCATATTACTTACATTTATAGGGTTTCATTCCAGTAGGAGTTTTCACATAACTTTTGAAGTAATTGTTAAAAATGAGAACTTTACCATATTTTCCATACTATTAGGGATTCAATCAAGTGTGCATTCTTCTATTTTATGAGGTCCATCTCCAGTGTGCATTATCATGTGTCTTTGAATGGATATGAGACAAATAAAGGCATTCCTCCATTTCATATATTCATAGAGGTTTTCTCAAGAATGAGTTATTCTATGTCACCAAATGGAACTGGAACTAAGGACATTTCCACATTTCTTTTTTTTTTTTGACTAGTCAAGTGCAGTAGTGAGGAGGCGGGTTAAGTAGTAGAACAAGGAGTTCAATCTGTAACTGACTGTGAACAATCAAGTGAACAATCAAGATAACTCACTACCTTCGGACCAGCCAACATTTCCACATTTCTAATATTCATAAGGTTCAGTGAGTCCTTTCATGTTTTCAAACCATATTTCTTACTGTCGCAGGATTTTCTTCCAGTTGGATTCCTTCCAAATCTTTTAAATAAGCTGAGAAAATTAAATGCTTTCCCACATTCATTACATTCATGGGGTTTCTCTCCAGTATGAGTTATTTCATATATTTGAAATTCACTAGAACATCTGAAGTCTTTAACAAATATTTTACATTAACAGGATTTTTATCCAGTGTGAGTCATTTCATGATTTTGAAGAGAACTGGGACAACTGAAGCCTTGACCACATTTCTTACATTCATAGGGTTTCCCTTTAGCATGAGTTCTTTCATGGTAACGAAGGCAACTGGAATATCCAAAGGTTTTACCACACTTCTTACATTTATAGGGTTTTTCTCCAGTATGAGTTCTTTCATGTTTTCGAAGGGAACAGGAAAGAGTAAATGCTTTCCCACATTCCCTACATTCATAAGGCTTCTCTCCAGTATGAGTTCTTTCATGTTTTCGAAGGGAACAGGAAAGACGGAATGCTTTCCCACATTCTTTACATTCATAAGGTTTCTCTCCAGTATGAGTTCTTTCATGGTCATAAAGGTTACTGCAATGCCTAAAGGCTTTACCACATTCCTTACATTCATAGGGTTTCTCACCAGTATGTGTTCTTTTATGGCTATGAAGGGAACTGGAGCAATTGAAGGCTTTACCACATTTCTTACATTCATAGGGTTTTTCTCCAGAGTGAATCCTTTCATGTCTTTTAAAAGAACTGAGACAAGCGAACGCTTTTCCACATTCCTTACATTCATATGGTTTCTTTCCAGTATGAGTTCTTCCACTGTCATGAAGGTGACTGCAATGCCTGTAGGCTTTACTACATTCCTTACATTCATAGTGTTTTTCTACTGAGTGAAACCTTTCATGTCTTTTAAGAAAATTGGGACTACTGAATACTTTTCCACATTCCTTACATTCATAGGGTTTCCCTCTAGTATGACTTCTTTCATGGTTATAAAGATGACCACAGTGCCTAAAGGCTTTACCACATTCCTTGCATTCATAGGGTTTCCCTGCAATGTGAGTTTTTTCGTGGTTATGAAGGGAACTGGAATGACTGAAGGCTTTACCACATTTCGTACATTCATAGGGTTTCTCTCTAGAGTGAATACTTTTATGTCTTTTAAGAAAACTTGGACAACTGAATGCTTTCCCACATTCCTTACATTCATAGGGTTTTGCTCCAGTGTCAGATCTTTCATGTATTAGACAGGAAATGGAAAAACTGAAGGCTTTATAACGTTGTTTACATTTATAGGGTTTTTCTCCAGAGTGAGTTCTCTGATGTATTTGAAATGAACTGAGAAAATCAAAAGCTTTCCCACATACTGTACATTTATAAGGTCCATTTCCAGTGTGCACTACCATGCATTTTCCAACACTTGTGACAGAGATGAAAGCTTTCTGACATTGTTCACATTTACATGGTTTCTTGCCACATTCCTCACACTCACATGGTTTGTGTCCAGAGTGACATGTGATGTGCCTATGAAGGGATGAATGACACATGAAGGCTTTTCCACATACACTGCATTCACATCGTTTTACTCTGGTAGAAATGTTTGTGCTCAGATTAAAATTTGGAATCTGGCTGAAGATTTCTCCCCACTGACTACCTTCTTTACTTTCACACAGTTTCTCTATCGTATGACTTCTGCAAAAAGTGACAAGCACATTATTAATGGGTGGTTCATTAATGATTTTCTATTTATTAATAGGTCTTGAACTTACATTGCTACCAATATCAGGGAAAGTACAGGTTTTCTGCCATGACCGAATTGTTTGAAAGTAAATGGATCGATCACTCTGCAACAGGGCTCCTTCCCCCAAGCTATTATCAAAACAGTGATATTCATATATGCAGTTTCTAGACCTTTGTCCAAGTCAACTATTTTGCAAACAGTGAACATCTACGTTACACTGAAGTATATATTTTTGGTGAAAATTTTCTAAGGCTAAATAAATTTAAGTTGTGCTTATTTCTTTTGTTTCCTTATTTCTAAAATATCATGACATGCTAAGATTGCTTCTTCCTGTGAGTGCAAATTACCTTAGATTTCTCCCAGAATTTCTGTAGTGATTGTCAATGTTCTGGTCTTCCCATTTGTTTCCTAAAATGTAGACCCAGAAAAATATAAATTATTAGAAATTGCTGATTCTAGGTGTTATGGTTTGGATATAATTTGTACCCACAAAAATTCATGTTGAAATTTGATTCCCAATGTGGCAATGTTGGGAGGTGGGGCCTAGTGGAAGGTGATTGTGCCAAGGGAGTAGATCACTCATGGATGGAATAATGCCCTCTTGAAGGTGTGACTGTGTTCTTGCTTTTTCAAAACTGTATGTTACCAAAGAACAGGTTTTTATAAGACCAAGTTTAGCTCCTAGACTCACTATTCCTCTCTCACCATGTGATTTCTTTACACCTACTTCCCTTCCACTTTCTGCCGTAAGTTGCAGTAGCCTAAGGCCCCTCACTAGATGCAGCTACCCAATCTTGGACTTTTCAGCCACCAGAATTATGAACCAAAATAAATCGTTTTTCATTGTAAATTACCCAGTCTCAGACATTCTGTTATAGCAACACAAAATGGAATAAGACACTAGGTTCCATGTGTACTGTGGCAATACCTGATTCATTCACCAAATTATTCCCTTTACACATTCCAAATCATGGAACAGTATTGATGACCATAAAATATTTATTCTCTAATTAACTAAGTAAAAAATATTATCATTCTTACCTATAGAAGCCAAATTCCTGAAGGTTTCCTGCATCACATCTCTGTAGAGATTCTTCTGGGAAGAAGTCAACAAAGCCCACTCCTCCTGTGTAAAGTTCACAGCCACATCCTCAAAGGCCACTGAGTCCTAAAAACATCCCACATATTATTTGTAGAAGAGGATGGGTGAGAATGACAACACTGAAAACGTTTAGTCAATTTATAAGACCTTCACATGACTCTATGGTCTTCAAACATTCCATGACTGAGTCATTAGAACTCTTACTCTCCATCTGCACTTACGTTCTCCCACTTTCTCTTCCCTTTCTGATGCCAAAATTGAACTTTCAGAAAGGCAACAGAAGAGTAGAAACACCCCTCTCGTTGGTGGGTCCAGAGAGTAAGATGTGCTGCTAGGCCACACCTAATTTCACTTTGTAAAGTATAGCTCTAGTACCTTTCATAACAAAGTCCTACTATCAGCTGTGCATAAGAAAGTTATTATAAGCAGTCCTGAGAATACTTATCCTTAGAAATGCCTTCTCACAATGTTTGACATTTGCTAGCGTCAGGGAACTTAGACGATAGGAGGGAATCCCATCAACCTAAGTCATGAGAGTGGCTCATTGTGCCTAAATAGTTTATCCTAACAATATGGTATTTGATGACCTCTTGTTTTGCATCTGAAAGCATATTTTTCGTCCTATCCTTGCAGCAGTGCCTAAGGGATCAACCCCAAAATAACAAGGAGCACAGTATCTAAGGAGCTTCCCTGACACACAATATTACATGTATGCTGTCACACCTTGTTAATCGGAGAATTGGGCTATCCCATGTAACTACACCAAGAGAGAATATTTGGAAGCTTACAAATGGTTTACTGCAGACCAAATTTAATCAAGAAGTAAATAAAAAGCTTGGACTTGGGGGGTGGGGACAAGGGCAACATACGTAACTTAGACATCTGTACCCCCATAATATGCTGAAATAAAAAAAAAAAAGAAGTAAATAAAACTAATGAACAATATTTACTGACCGAACAGCACAAGGTTAAAATTTCTATTGGGCAATGTCAAAGCAGAATGGTATAAACTGAAGGACTGCATGTTCTTAGAAAGTTCCCAATGTCACTTGGATGTCACCTCTTACAAATGATATCCTTATAAAATTTCACAAATTCCCGAAGTTTTTTGTACCCAACAAAAAATACTTTTCCAAACCTATGAAAATAGCATGTCTAATGATTGTCAAAGTTTTTTGAACAACAGTGCTATGGCTTGTCTAACACATGTCAAGGATTTTCAAATATAACATATGGAACAGAATAGGATTAGCAGAGAGAAACACAAACAGGTCAAGGAAAAGGAAGAGAGTGTTTAATGAGCTGGCATTTATTTGGAAAGTTGATCAAAGATACAGCAGGCATTGTAGAATAGTGGAGGAAATGTCAAGCACGTTAAAACCTGGAGCAAAACTAATTGGTATTTAATTGAAAAAATTCATTGTATTCCCCTTTATTCCATGAACAATAATCAATTTATTTTAGATTCAAATGTGAAAGATAAAGGTAGTCTTTTGTCTTGGAGAAGTCACAGGCAAATATTTTTTGACAGAATTAGACACCAATTTTTTTTTTTAATGAAACAGAGTCTTGTCATGTTGCCCAGGCTGGAGTGCAGTGGCTATTCATAGGCATAATCATAGTGCATTGAGGCCTTGAACTCCTAGCCTGAAGTTATCTTCCTGCCTCAGCTTTCTGTGTAGCTAGAATTACAGGTGTCTGCCACAGTGCCTGGCTTTGGCAGAGTATTTTTATAAAAGAAAAAGAGTAATCAATATAGAAAGGGACTGACAAATTCAAATATATCAAAATTAGAAGAATTAAAAGATAAGAAACAATGTAATAAAAATCTGCAATAAATGCAAGATAAAAGATATTAACATGTGGAGTAAAAATGAACACATGATTACAAAGAGGGAAAGTACGTAAAACATATTTAACAGAAGATAAAAAGACCATATATGAAAAAAGATGAATCTCCTTGGTTATGAGGAAATACCCAAGTAAAATGTCACGTATATAACATTTGATATTAATAAGAACGACAAGAATTAGTCCATTAGGGAATCTTAATTGGTAATAATCATAGCAAACACAGTTATGCATGAATTAAGGAGAAGCCAATGGGCACACTCCATTGCAATTTTCTGTAAGTTGAATTTTACCACAACCTATAGCCCATTTTCCTCCAATGTAAAATTTTTTGTGCATTTGTACTTGGAAATTGACTTAAAATGATAAGAGCAGTATTTTCCCGTAAGAGCAAAAATCAAACTTGAAAAAACCCAAACACTATAACCACTGGAATGGATTAGTAAATTGGATGGCACAGAGCCTCAGACACTAGCATGCGTAAAACACACTGAGGCAAGGAAACCGTGGATAACCCTTTCATTTTATTCCATTAATACTCATTTCTTGAAAGTTCAAAGGAGGTAAAACTAACAAAAAAACCATGAAAATAACAAATGGCAAAAATATGAAAAATAGAGAATCAGAACAGTGGTCATCTAAGAGGCTAGACGAAGATGAGCGCTGGAGATGACCGCTAGGAAATTCTGATGACTGCCCACGGTCCAGGAATAAATCCTGACAATGATTCAAAAGATGTTTCTATTAATGAAAACTTATGACAAATGTTTATTCTTTCCTTTGTGACTATATTTCATAAAAATTTAAAGAATTAATTATGTCCGCAAAGGACACGATTTGCATATGTTTGTTCTGAAATGTGGCAGTCTATGAGTTTTAATTCACAGGTTTGGCATATAAAGAAACAGAGAAGCACAGCTTAAAGCACTATATCTACTCAGGAAGCAGCAGGTCAAACTCCATGCTGACCAACAGGCAGCAGAGCAGGTTAGCATGTCAGAGCAAGAGAAGATAAACCTACAGTGGGGGTGGGTAATGTCCGGACATCCTGCTAATGGTGGCAACTGTTATGGTCACCTGCAGAGATGTGGTTTGGAATGGGTAAGAAATTACTGTTCACATAATTTACCGTTGTGTAGAGAGTAAGGCAGGCCTCTCAGGTGGTCTTACATGACTTTAGTGAGCAAGAAAAGGAGTGGGTTTGGGGTTTTTTAAAATTGAGGTTAGGTGAGAAATTAGGGTGAGAATTCACTCCCATGGGCAGGGGTTTACATGGTTTCAATCTGCTGCCAGTGTTCAAAGAGGGAGCACCCAGGTTTCTTTTCACGTTGTCCTCATCTGAGGCCACAAGTGGAAGAAAAAGAGTTTAGAATTAAAAATTGTCAGCAGTCAATCAACAAAAAATGGAGACAGACAATTCTGATTTCCAGTCTCATAGGTAAGAACATGAAGAGAATCATAACTTACTTGATCAGAAAATCCAAAGAAAGCTCTGTGGAAAACAGTAAGGACACAAGAGGCAACATTCACATTCATATAAGCAAAAAACAAACTAAAATCAACAACTGTTTTTAGATCCATCAAAAACTTGAGGTCACAGGGCAAACAACCATCCTAAATAGAAGAGATGGAGAGGCGCATGCAGAGAATAATTTATTTAATCAGAAAATCAAAGAAATCCCTGTGGAAAGCAGTATAAGTATAGAAAAACCTAACGTAATTGGCGAGCTGCTGAACTTTGAGTTAAACTTTCCAGGGTACCAAGTCTGAACCCACAAATTCATGAGTTCGACCTCCAGAAATACTACCAGGCTTTCACAGTGAAGATCACAGAAAAATTACCTTCTGCTTCCAGAAGGAGAAAGAGGAAAGTAATCATTTTCAAATATGCACAGAGAATTCTGCTCTTTAAGAAATCCTGTCTTCAAAAGAAGCTATTTCTCAAAAGTCTAACCAACTGAGATTTTACCAAACTTCCTGGGGTAAAGGAATTACCCAAATCCATCCCCTGCTGACCTTTCTGCCTAAATTAAAGAGAATAAAAACTGAGAAATGCATATGAAACTCATAAGCCAGAGAGACAAAGTCTTCCTAAAAAGGAGGCCAAAATCATAGGTCAATAAAATGCTTTCGCTTACCCCACACATTCTCACTACGTCAACAGCAGAACACATACATAATGGCAGCAGAATACAACTAAAATAACCATATACCTAAGACTTTAAGAAGCCTCTAAAGGAAAACCAGCAAGCTGGGTAACAATAATGAGGTGGACAAATGTGTAGAAATACACAATGTACCAAGACTGAATCACCAAAAAAAATAAAATAAAAAATCTGAACAGACCTACAAGTTGTAGAAGATTGACACAGTAATAAAAATACCTCTCAACAAATAAAGACCCAGGACCAAACAGTTGTACTGCTGAAATCCATCAAACACTTATAGAAGAATTAATTCCAATTCTCTTCAAACTCTGGTGAAAACTGAATACATGAACACTTCTAAACCCATTCTATAAGGCAGGGATAATTACACTGACATCAAAAACGGACAAAGCCACTACAAAAAAGAAAACTGCAGACAAATGTTCTTTATAATGATTCAAAAATCCTCAAATAAATACAAATCATATTTGGCAGCATAACAAAAGGATTATACACCATGACTAATTTATACCTGCAATGTAAAGATGATTCAACATATAAAAATCAATCATTGTAATACACCACATTAGTAAAATGGCAAACACTAAAACTACCTCAACTGGTACAGAAAAAGGCATAACAAAATTCAAGACTCATTAGTAATAAAAACACACAAAAAAGCTAGGACTAGAAGGAAACTACCTCAATATAATAAAGGCCATATAAGAAAAGCCCACAGAAACATCAAAACCAATGGTGAATTTCAAAAAAGATTTTCCCCTAAGATCAGATATTAGACAGGATACTTGCTTTCACCACTTCCACTCAACACTCAACACATTATATGCAACCCTAGCCAGATTAATTAAGCAAAAGATAAATAAATAAAAAATAAAGGAAAAAATACATAGAAATTACTAAGAAAAGTGAAATTATTCCTATTCACAGTGATCCTGTAAGTATGCAATCCTACAG